TTCGTAAAACGTTGAAGGTGGCGTATAAGACAGACATATTTACATGTTTCTTGCACTAATTATTTTTCTGTAAACGCAATGTGATAAGATTACGGGCTGGATTCAAACTCAGGACCTTTCGCGTCAATGCACAAAGCGGAAAGGAAATTTCGTTTACAGGTAACTAATTTCTATACACACTAAGTCACAATAAAATCTAATAATTAATATGCTCTATTTATTGTGGGTCTATGGTCTATATCGCAAGAAGACTTACGCAACAATCGTGCGTGCCTAACATGTAGAAATTGTGAAGCTGCTATTTTGGTTACAGGTTTTTTGTTTTTCAACGGGCTCCTTGGTCTAATCACTAATGGTAGCAATGTGTGGCTAATGATCAACGGGTCATTCCATCCCCACCAGGTCCAACATATTTCAAATTTTTTAATATATAAGTTTTCTGAAATCTGTATATTAAATGGGTGAATATAGAAATTCCGTCCGGGCCACGAACCACTGTCGACAGATGAAAAAAACCGAGAAGCTTAATCGCGTGTCGGTTTCAGTTCGTGGATTTCCGAATATCCAAAGCCAAATTAGATCAACAGCGTATCTTGTTTAGAAAAGTGAATCCTATGAACTCCTGTATCATTAAAAGAAAAGCTGAAAATACAATAGTTTCTACTGGTAAAACTAGCGCCTTTTAAATATACCGTAGCAATCTACCGTCATATAGCATATTATTGTTTTTCGGGCTGTTCGGCCGATGCAAGTGAGAAGAGATTCTCGACGTTTCGCTATCTCGTGCGGACGGCATCATCAGGAGACGTTAACTCTAAGGAGCGTCGAGAACCTCTTCTCACTCACGTCGGCCGAACAATCCGAAAGACAATGGTGTGCTAAACGATGGCCGTAAAAGCCTTACCCAATTTCTTCTTCTTCTTCTCGTGCCTCTCCATTACTGAAGGTTGGACGTTAGCTTTTGAAAGCGACTGGTGTCCTTTACGAGATGTAGCAACGCCTCGACCGTTTCTATCCCCGTTCATTCCCTGATGTTTTGCAGCCATGACTTCTTCCTCCTTCCAACACGTCTTCTACCCTGGATTCATCGTAATAAACTGGAGGAGGCAGTAGCGGTCATGGCGAAGGACGTGACCCAGGTATGCGACTTTGCGCTGCTTTATAGTCCGTAGCAGCATTCTTGTCATTCCAGTGCGTGGAAGGACATTATTTGGATCCAACTGATCCGGAGCATGCGACGATAACACCACATCTCAAATGCTTCAAGGCTTCTACGAGTGTCTTCTTTTATGGTCCATGATTACAACCGTAGAGGACTATTGGCCATATGTAGCAGAGGAGAATTCTTATTCAGAGTTTAACGCTCAACTTACACAATTTACCGTCGTATAATTTCGAATCAGTGGTCATTTACCCGCTTTAATTAAATGTAACAATTATATCTGCGGTACTGTGAGAAAGCTGTGTACACACAATTGAATCATTGTCTATGCTTTTTACAGTACGCCTTGATATATGGTAGCAAGATATGCAGAGTGTGGGAAATCCAAGCGCCGCTCGCATTTTCCAACATGTCATCTTTGGCCGTGGGAAAGAATAATTTTACTGTGTTATTGCTTTTTGTTTAGACTACTGTACGGAATGATAATATTATTTTTAAATTTGAGACGTATTTTTGTTGTTAAATTAGACTGTTGGACAGTTGGAAAGCGATTGTCGAAAAAATATATTGGAACGCTGAAAATGAACTCGTTCTCTGTGAACTCTTTTTAATTTTATCCTTTCTAACCTCCCTATAACATAGAAACTAATATAAATATATAGTTTTATTTTCAGTCAAAACTCCAGCCAGCCGTTATATATGAAGAGGCGGTAACATCAGAACAGCCAATCACAGGAGTCAGACAGAAAATGTAACAGGTGATTGGCCTGTACAAAAGGCTTTAGTATGTAATATTTTGCGACTGCTAACTAGATGACGTAAACTTTGTTTTGTGCTAAGCTTAATTTTAAGCAAATTTTCCCGCTAAATCTATAAATCTTCGCGGATCATTTATTAAATGTTTTGATATAAATAGGAGTGCTAAATCTGTTATTTAATAAGAAGTTCGTTCACTTAGATAGATTGAAATTGGTGAAATCTATATCTATACTAATATGTAAAGCTGAAACGATTGTTTGTTTGTTTGTTTTTTCAATTCCCATTTCATTCTTGTTTCATTTTGAGCACGTATCTAGATTTAAATATCGCGCAAAGTCTGATAGGAGCGAAGAAAAAGCGGGAAATGTGGAAAAAACGGGGAAAACTATTCACCTTTGTGGGTGTTCATTAAGTACGTTGCAAAAACGGTTCAAGATACCCAAAATATTAAAGAATGATACATATTTTAATTATTAAATGATTTTAAAAAATGTTCGCGATAATACCTATAACTATTCTACGCGGATGAAGTACCTGCCACAACTAGTAGCAACATGGATAACGGTTGGTAAACTTTAATCTAAGTATTTTTTACTTTGTTGTATTATGTATACCTTTTTTATCACCATTTCGGACATGCTGATTAATGAATCCCCTATAAATAAAATCAATCAGTGAAGCAGACACAAAAATATGTCAGCCCCAAGCCACACCGGGGGAAGCGGGATTACAAGTAGTTCTCTCTGTACGTCACAAGGTCTAGAATGTTTCTAGCAATTCATAATTCTTATATTTAATTGCAACACACATCCTGTTTCGGCACGTTTTAAATATAGGAAGTAATTTTTCTGTCTAGATAAGACTTAAAAGTTTTCCTGTTTGAAGAACGAAGTTTACTGATTAATGCCACAGACGACAAACAATTATTAGCTGATATGACTATTTAATTTGACATTTTCTCCGAACTCCTAATCAGTAATTGCATATTTTTGTCAAAACATTTAAATAAAACACGGGCTAAAACGTGAATTATATTAGTTAAACTTATTTACAAATTGGCGTCAGTCTCATCATAATCATGGCTGATGCAAGGCATACGAAACGTCGGATAATAAAGTAATTTGTCAATAAATTTAACTAATATATTTCACGATTTAAACCGTTAAAGTGTTTTATTTAATTGTGTATTACCTGCGTAAACTACGAACAGAATTTATGTCAGAATAGTTTTCTCTGAATTTATAAATTTAAGTACAACAGTCTCAGTCGAGGAGAAACAAATCTTATCAATGCGGGTGGTAGGAATATCGAAATTCCTTCCGGATGACGAACCATCGTCCACAGATGAAAAAGACGTGAAGATTAATCCATCTAGTTTTGTCCGTCTTCAAATTTACTTGGTTGATTCACCGGTCACCCCAATTATCAGAAGTTGACACCAGTTGTCCGGTCAACCAAAACTGCACATTGAAAATCGGTCACAAAATTGCTCTAAACACTCATATTCTTGATGGCAGATAAATGACTTCCTGCTGCTTGCTACAATAGAGCATCATTATTCTGCTCGACTCTAGAATAGACGCGGCCGTGGGAGACTCTCACGATTTTATTGCGGATATATATTTTTTGTATGTTCTAATTAACAGTTTTTGTACTGGCCCGCTTTTACCTTAATTGCTAGGCTACAGCATTAACTTCGAATTATGCCAGAAAGGTTAACGAATTCATTATATGTTATAGTAATATTATTATATTCGTTTATCATTTTTTGGCGAACGATTATTAAAAAGTTTACCAGTTTACACTTAACCTGTTTAAAAATAGAGTTGTCTTAATACTCCGATTTCCTCTGAGCACAGTTCTGTGTCTGCTTAAGTACTTTTAAATAAAACACTTTAACGGTTTAAAACGCGATATATATTAGGTGAACTTATTTCAGAATTATTTTTATTACGTTTCGGATGCTTTGCAGCAGCCGTGGTCACGGGGAGACTCAGTGTACTACTCGCGTAAAATACAGACGGTATTTAGTCAAGTGTTTCATTAGACTTCTGCGTGCAAAACCATATCCATGAATTATTATGTTCAACCGAGATTAAAACCAAGAATTTTCGTCTCCTAACTATAGAATTAGTACAAAATACAGTGAAGAAACTTTTATTATTAAAATTATAAGACGAAGGTTTAAATAAAACGATATATTAATTGTGACTCGTGTTAACAACCATTCACAGAGGCGACTTTAATAAAGCGAAATATAACAAACATTGTATACAATAGTTCGAACTCATGGCATTACAAAACAGCTTATATAACATATCAATAAGGTCTAATAACGCTTCAGAGATTGAGACTGAGGCTTGAAACAGCCATTTACTCCAATACAATTACTATTTTTTATATTGCAGTTGACAACCGATGCCTGTATTTAATTCTCTCGGTGTAAACTAAAAAATTAGTAATCTGTTGTTTTAACAACACATATTATATTTATTGATGTACTTTAGACCTTATAAGACCTCATTTTAAAAACCTTAACCAACATAGTTAATCTAAGAATAAATATATTTCGAACAGATCTTTAACTCCTAGTATTTTTGATATAAAAATATAAACCGTTTGCTGTAAACAGCGACTTTTGTTACAATTCAACGTGAAATATTTAGACCAATACCATAGAATGTATTAGACCGTCTAGCAGCGATTAAATTGTACTTAATTACTTGTTATACGTAAATAATATACTTTCATTACCTTAAATATGTAGAAATCTACATTTTCTTTCGTGGACGGAGTTAGAATTAGTTTGTTTTAGCACGGTTTAATAAATTGTTTTTTTTTGTCGTTGCCTATTGATTATACTTGATAACACATTTTGTATTGTTACCAATTTGTATATGGAATTGAAATTCAGTATAAAATAAATATACTATAATTCATTTTGTATTAGTCTAGAACTGCGTACCAAACTCTGATAAACATTTTTTTCTTATGAAAAAGAGATTTATGTGTTAATTTGTAATACATAAAAGGCATTTGGTTAAGAGCTGACTTTTGCATGAAATTGTTCAAAAATCTATTACTTAACACGCATCGATCGTTGCTTGTTCATATTGGTCAACATAAGGGAGATATATGAAGTAAGCAGATCGTCCATTTTGTAGCCGAGAGAAGTTTCACACAGTAGCTTAGAGCCTCGCACCAGGTTCCCGATTGTCATGTGAAAATATGTGTTTCCGGATGACCAGTTTGATATTCTGGTGAATGGGTGCGTCACTAGTATGTCCTGAAAGAAAGTGCAATAATTAGGGGATATTATAGCGAAGTTTTAGAAAATGATTTCTCGAGAATCAAACCCAAGATATCTCTTTAACCAAACCAACACGTTTAACCATTGAGCTATGATGATTAAAATAACCTCGAATTAAAGTTAGTAGAAATTTGGCCTTAAAGAGAAATTAATCGAAAAAATGATTAAGATTTATATTATTATTATGCAACAAAATATCTTGTTAGTTAATTTATTTTTATGTTACCTTTGACTGTGGATGTATCAAGCTAACACCGTGTTTGTTAATTGCTATCAGCAACAACTCCGGATAGTTGGGTTCCGTAGTCTGTTTAACTTCGAAGAATGCAGATCCAAATGTTGGCCACCGGTATATAACCTTCAGGAATGTTATCTTTGCATCTTCAGGTGTCATACCAGCATCCTGGTTATACGATGCTACAATAGCGCGCTTCCAATCAGCTGAGCTCTGTAGCTTTATCAAGTCTGCTGGAACTAACTCGCGGAGCATTTGACTGTAAAACGAAGTCCCGATATTAAGTCAATTAAAAGTAAACAGAGAAAAAAGTAATATAACATGTCAAACACCAAAAATCTAAAATCTCCAAAATTAACTTCACACTAGGCTAGTCTGGAAAATAAATTTTTGAGACGGAGTCTAATCAAATTCTTGAAATAGTAAAACTCATGTAAGATGTATAATCTTTAACATGAGTAAATAAACGTAAAGGCCGTTATTTATTAGCTATTGAAGTACATATTCAAAGATCACGTACGGTATTGCTTGCAACTCCTGTTTGTTGTCTCCAAAGCGTGCACGATAAGCTAAAGCAGCAAGCCTAGCGGCCTCCTCTCGCCCGCATCGGTGGTATCCACGAAGTAGTTTCGGTAACTCCTGGTGGAAGTGAAAGATTACGTCCGCAGCTCTGTCTTTACCCGGAACTGTGTTTGTCCAGAGTTTTTTCATGAAGAAAACCTGAAAGCATACAGGAATTTTGAATTTTATGTTGCAATAGTTAGCCACACTGCAAATCAAGGTAGTTGCTTACTTATTAAATTGTGAATTTAGTTGAAGCCGTAATAATGAAAAAATATTGCACATATATGTATATTATGTTAAGCTTTTTTTTTTTTTAAGTGAATGTATTGTAATCTTTATAATGATATAACTTTCTCTTAGATTCTAAATTATAAAATTCACCGAATATATTTTTAATATAGACATATTACATAATTTATGTATATATTTTACCTGATATGTAAACTGAGGTGTTATTCCATCTCGCGTCGGCCTCGCTTTCTTAATCCAGTCCGTTAAATGTCTCACGAAGTCGAAGAAAAAGTCGCCTTCGGGAACAGATATAACCTTATCAGCTATCTTAACAAATAAACTAAAGCCTTCACTAGATCTGAGATTCAATCTTTGCGCTATATTTTGACAGAAGTCCTTTGCTCTAGTGGATGAATCCACTTCAAACGCCTCATCGGTATCGTCAGGAAAGTATACCTTGTGAAATATTTGAGTAGTTTTATGTTGAATCGCCTCGACTTCAACTTGGTGAGGCGGATATTTCCTCTGGCCATTTCTGAGTGTCTTCTGTAATCTTTGGAGGGAATCTTGAGCAATTGGATATCTTCTAGTTCTAAGGAATACAGTTAATTCTCTAAGAAGACCTTGACTGCAAGCGAACAAGCCCGTCGCCAGCCACATTAGTTCCCATCCCCTCTCTTCGGACATTCTATTTCTATTATCTGTTAGTTGCTTCATTATTTGACAATATATTTCGTCACGTAAAATTTCATGCTTGAGAGGTCCATCGAAGATGTGATCTGTGTATTCATTGCCAATTCTAGGGCGCTTTGATGGTAAATCACCCATGTATTTCAGTATGGCAGTAAAAGCAAAGCAAGCTTCTTCAGCTAGCTCTTCTTTAGTCTGCAATTTCTTGAGTAAAGGTTGTTTTATAGGTTCTCTTGCATGTCGCCATAATTCCTCGGCCCCGCCCCTTTTGGCTGAAGAAAGGGTTAGCGTTTTTGATGTCGTTCGTTTGGGCGGTAATCTAAAGTGGTCTAATGCGTATTCTAATAATGTGTGAGGCTTATCTCTGGAATCGGTCCCATTAAAAGTACTAGTTGGAGCTTTACGGCCATGTTGTGCACCTTCTTGGCAGAAGAGAGCCAGTATATCGGGAGGTGGCTTCGTCAAAGCGGGAAGGACATAAACTGTTTCAGCGGGGAAGTCACCTCTTTCCATCGATCTTTCACAGCGTCCAATACACCAACCGTTGTTTAGCACCGATTCCCCTGTACTATCTTCTTCTAATATGATAAGATCTCCCTTTTGGAATGTCAAAAAGCTAGAACCTTCTCCTGGAGCCTTATAATCTTGTAGCGCTATGACGAATTTAGATCTCTTCTTCAAACCTTCCAAGAAGTAAACGACTAGATCTCTAATGTCTTCAGCATTAGGACTTTGGAAAGTGAATTCTTCGCCTCGCACTGTAGCCAAACTGAATGTTTGAGTAAAAACTTTATTGGTCTTTTGACTGGAAACGGTCGTTATTTCAGGGAATGACAGTTCGAGAAGTACCTGTTCCTGATCATCGACGACATAAACACCGGTCCAATTTACTGCGATTATTACATCGTTTTTAGGCAAGTTGGGTCCGGAATTTCTGTACGCCTCATAGAACCTTGAGAATAACAAAGGCCATTTAAACTTAGCATAACTCACTACGTCTTCTTTAACTCTATAGGCAGGAACTTTTTCTTTAACATAATAACTCTTTTTGTACGCTTGAACTACTAGGGAGCCCCATCGATCGACAGCTTTTTCGACGCCCGTTAAGCAGTAGTCGGGTATATAATTCGGCAGTAATGTATACAAGCGTTCGTTGTTCATGTCTTGGCCATACTCAATGTAATACTGCTGAGCGGCAATCATAGCTAAGTCTTCTTCCTTGTCACACCTGTATTCGCCGAACTTTACACCTCGGACGACTTGCTGATAAATAAGATTTGTCGCTACTTGGTCTTCAGTCGGATCGTGCCACGGCGCAAATATTTCCTTTCTGAAGAACAATCTCCACGGTGCATTTCTTTCTTGTGCGCCTTGTTCCTTAGCGTACTGTTCACATTGAGATATAGCATCCATTACGTGATCACCCCCGCTCCCCAGCGAACTAACTTTGTCAAATAGGGCAATATAGAGGGAAAATCCGAATTGATCTCGTAATGCAATTTTATCTGACAACTGATTACATAATTCACGAGCCGTTGTCGCCGAATCCGCTAAAAGAGTTTTAGTGTTGCCATCCATAAATGTTATTGGCAACATTATAGGCTTTTTAGATTTCGTCGCCTGCAGTTCTAACCAAGATGGAGGTTGATTTCTGGTCCCATTATTAAAGGTTCTTTTTAAACGATCTTCACAATAAGGCGCATAACCGGGAGGCCCTTCTCTGATGAAAGCTCTCAAATAATTGACGAATTTCTCACTGGGTGCAAAACAACCGACACATAATGATAGCAAAATCCATCCACGAGCATGAGACGATTTTGATGGGTTATTGGTCAGTTGTTTACAGATTTGACAGTAAATTTCATCTCTCAATTCAGCCCGGAGGATACCGTGGCCAATAATGAAATGAAGTTTTTCCAAATTCGAAGTTGGTCGCGATTCCAACCACGATTGATAACTGTCCGCTGTGTATTCTTCGTCCTGTAATTGTAAAAAAATATATAATCAGAAATTGACAACTAAATACATAATATTAGTGTTTAGTTATTAGTACCTGAAGTTTTCTTCTCACGTCCTCTCCGAGTTTGTTCTTCCTCTTCAAAGTTAAAGACACAAGTTTGTGTCTTATCGACCTCGGTTTTTGTTTATTTAAATAAGCATCTGGGTCGACGCCCATCATTTGAGCTTCCTGAAACTCCTTGGACCGTATAAAATTCCTGCCAAGTGTAGCCGTGACTTTTGACATCACCGACGTGTTATCTCTGTCCATCGTATGATATCTTGGTTCTGGAAGGTCCCCAGTAAAGCGCAATATTGTTATCCATAACGCTTGTGCAGCCTGTAATTTAAGATTCTTATCATAGATTTTATTTAAAAACTCCATTAGCGTTTATCTGATTTTTAAACTTTATCGCTGCTAAAAAATTTATTAAAAAACAATTATTAATGTCATGTTTTTAATCCGCTACTTACCAATTGATCGCCTTGCGTATGTAGCGGTAGAAGAGGATGTTTCAGCGGTTTTCTTGAATACTGGTGTGTAACATTGCCTTGAAAATAAGTAGCTGCGAACTTTTGGAACTTAAACTCGGAAAGATCTTCTTCGTCTTCCGATGTCGTTTGCATTGGGGTGACCATCTGTGTATTATATGTTATCACATATAGAGTTACTGTACTTTAAAGCTTTTATTTGCATAAAAAATTTTTTTTTTAAATTTATGACGATGATAAATTTAAAAAAAAAGTAGATATACCTAACATTAATCTTATCTGACATTAGTAAACTTGTACTTATTAGTACATATTGCTTTGACTACTGTAACATTCAATTAGCAAATACAATATTGATAACAGAAAGTTGAATGGATGGTTGTACCACGAAACTAGTCATTATCGTTTAAGTAGTTAACATTGAGAGAAAAATCGACTGCTCTTGTGATTTATTAGAGGTGAAGATAGTAGGCTTGTATTAATAACAGTTTCTTTTGTTACTCTACTTGATGCGTGTATTCTAAAGTAAATAAAACCTCACCTCTTGTTGGTCTGCCCGTTGTTGTGGTAAATCACTGAATGCACAAGTATCCTTCGGCGCTGGTGCTTCGCTACTTGAGTCAGGTAGGAAATCAAACATAGCTTCTACTAGTTTGCTGTCATCCACCGGCTCGTCTTGCTTGCGAGCTGCTTCTTGCAGAAGAGTCCTCTTCGCTTCTAACTGTCGTTTCTCTTCTAGCGCTAACTCAGCTTCGCGCCTCTCCAATTCGTACATGCGCTCCTGCGAAAAGAATAGAGAATAATTATATATATATTAGTTAGGTAGATCTATAAAAAAAATATAATTTTAGCTTTACATTTGCAGGTAGATAAAATTTAACGGAACAGTTAGATTTGAGCAAGTATGACACGAAAAGAGCTCTACATAACCTTCGTGTTGAGACTGTTCAGCTTCAGTGAAAGTGGTGTTATCTTAATAATCATACTTGCCCACTTGTCTGCAATCCATACACGGTTGTAACGAGTATTAATAGTTGCATCACTGCTGGTGCACCACATTTTTACTTAACATTAGAAAGACGAGCGTTTGGTTCGCTCGCTAGCAATTAATTGGTTGTATTACGCTACATTTCAACAGGTTTGCAGTTATCCAACCGACGCTGGGTCGTGTAATTGTATAATGAGCTTGCTTGATTGATATTAAGTGTTTTACGCAAACAAAAATAGTAAAAATTATGTACTTATAATAAGAAAAAAATTGTTATTTCGCTCACTACTTTAACTTTAGAAAAGAAACACGACTTTAAATGTTAAAACTTCATTACTGACGCTTGTCGCTCATTTCTAAGGCAGAACATATGAAAAACAAAACGTAATTTGCTATAGGGCGATACGTGTAAGGAAAATTTGACATACAATACGTAATTTCTTGTAAATTCAAGCTCAAGAAACAAAAGGACATACCTTATATATCATTAACAACCGCCGCACTATCATTTTTATGGATATACTATCATTATCATTATCACACACCAAAAGCGGCACACACGGCCGGCTCAAAAGCAAAAATAGATGAACGTTACCATTGATTAGGTGCAAATATTTTAATCACATTTTTATTATCATTCCTGATTCGCCGCTTTCCGATAGTATCGATCGAATCAAATTCGATAAAGAGATTTATCTAGTGATCTAGCCGTGATATGGTTTTATTGAGTTAAGGCATAAAGTACGTAATAAAATAATTACTAAAATGACATACACATATATATTATTAGTTCACATTTTCGCTAAAAATAATAATACTATTTGTCAATACAATTAATTGTTTTATTCTTATTAATTTGCCTATTATTTATATGTTTAAATAGTTATTTTGGTATATATAATCGTTAAAGATGAAAAAACGCGATAACCAAATTAATCTGATGTTTTAACTAATCAGACATTGTGCTTCTGTTTAGGCTGTTTATTTTCAAACGATATATCAAACTATATTTTAATTATTATAAGGTATTAAAAACGGATTATTTAATTATAGAATTTATTAAAATAACATAAAATAGAAACGGATTTACTAAAACATATATAAAAAATCGATTTTAAATTGAAAAAAAAATACGATACGAGAAGGACTTGAATCAGCATCCACAGCGTTCCGTGCTGTTGCTCTAACCAATTGAACAACCATGCAAATTCGTTTTTAAACTTAATATTACCCTTACCCTATAGTTTTGTTCAGCTATCTCTTTAGCACGAGTATTGCCCTGGTGCTGTAGCCGCTGCTCTTCTTGCCTGCGCAGGCGCAACGCCTCGTTGTGCGCTATAGCGTCTTGCTTCATACGCCGATATCGACGCATGGCGATTAGCCGTCGCACGTGGCTCTGTATTTTGACTATAGCCCACATTTTGTGTCCGTACGAACGACGAACTAAGTACCCTCGGGCAGCAGCCTATATAAAAATAATACAAGTAATTAAAATTTTTAAGAAGTATAACATAATATGTACTTAAATCTTGTATTAATTAAAGGAGTATCTTAAAATTTATTGATCATCAAAATTTTAGGTTTTGAAAAAAATACTGATTTACTGTTTTACCTGCAATGATACTATATGTCCCCTCAAATGTCGGAACCGATGGGCCAGCACTCTCGCCCGGATCAAAGCTTGCAGTCTCGCATATCCCACCTTCATCTTATTATACCGTATTCTCTGTAGTTTTCCACGCCAATGACGTTGTATAAGAACAGCCGCTGCCCGCATCTTCAAGAACCGCCTTCTGTACACCCAGCCACGTATAGACCTTTGTAATATTAATATCTTCCTAGTGAGGACCCTGTCTCGCTCTTGTTCGAGGAACAGGTCGTGGGCATCCTTCAAAAACACTTTGGTATGACCTAGCTGATAGTCCGACTTCCCCAAAACTGTTGCGCATATTTTGGCCGTAGCAGCTCTGCAGTCGGTCTTATGAGCCGGCGGCACACCCGAAATGAGGAACCTATATCGTTCAACAAACTCTTTAAAGCTGTGTCTGATTGGATATCCTGCTCTACGGATTCGAATTGTTTCCATCATACCCGAATACCGAAGCTGTCGACAACACAGACCTCTGTCAAACATCATTGGTTTTTTGAACTCGTTTGGTTTTATGCAACGTATGAAGAATGGTTGGCACGTTCCTAAAGTTCTCATTAATAGATCTAATGATTTTTTGAACTGTGTCGATAGTGTTGGAGTGCGTTTCCTCGTTTCAGAACCCATTACTATATCGTCTTGGAAGATTTGTTGAAGGAATTTGTTTGTCGAAATGTGTATAAGTTGTAAGAGGTCAGCGCTGAACGTGTCTCGATTTTTCTCTAGAAAACCTCGTGTGTCGTAGAATACTATACCAGCGAAATGGTTGAGACCAAAACTAGTGTTTATATCCGATTTCGGTTTGAGGTAGTTTCTGTGAAGGCCGTGTGTTTTGTGCAATTTGGCTAACATAGTTTGATCTGTGCCTTTCGGGAACTTCGACTCTTCATCAATCAGCGCCATAATGTTGAGCTGCTTTAACGCAATCAGGTCTAGTGCATCTTGATTGTCAACAAATTCTATATGTTGCCAGTTGATTCCTTCATGGTTGTATTCCTCTTGTTCAAGCTTAAATATATGCCTTACGAAAAATTGTTGTAAATTCTCATTCGCAAAATTGATACAAAACTGTTCAAAACTATTGTGGTCGAAGTTTTCAAACCCGAATATATCTAATACACCTATCGCGGTTCGCATTGTTGCTTTTGGTTTGTAAATAGCTGCGTTAATCTTCTTGACTATGGTAACAAATAGCCTACCATAAATTCCCTTAACGAATGCATCTCTGATATCCACAGACTGCTCTCTGCTTAATGTGGATACCACTGTTTCTCCATGAGCAAACAAAGTTTTCCTCGTCAAAGCTTTGATAAGAGATGGAACGGGTAATCCGAGTAGATGAGCGACGCGTTTGACATTCGACTGTTCTATTATTTCTGTGGCATCCAAATTATCTACCACTGTGGCTTCGTATTTTATATTACCACAGTGCAATACAGCGGCTAATAATTTGAGTATATCCCATATTTCGGATTCTGTGAACAGCAATACTTTCATCGCTGATCTAATATCTGCAAACTCAGCGGCATCATCTCTTCCTTCGCAACTGAAGTTTCCTCCCTGAAAATAGGTAATTATATAACTTAATTTAGTAGATATGTATTTTTAATTAAATAATGTAATGTAGTATTTATAGTTTAGACTTACAGCAGATAAATATCTATACTCTGAAGCATCACCTAACTCCAATTTCTTCTTTTCCTCTTTCGACAACCCAGCAAGAAGACAGTAAAATACATGATAGTTTCTCTCCTCGGGGCCTTGAAAGACTATTCTCGATTTTTCTAATAAATATTGTTCTATTTTGGCACCTTCGATAACACCGTTACTGTTAAAATGTATGTCTATGTATTTACCGAAACGAGATGAATTATCGTTTCGCACAGTTTTCGCATTACCAAATGCTTCAAGTATTGGGTTAGCTTCTAAGATCTGAAACGTGACATATGTTTTATTATTTTATAATACAATTTTAGACTTGCATTTAAAATATTTATAAGTAAAAATACTCTCGTTTTTAGTACATAACAGTTAGTTTTGCCTCGATAACCTATTATCTCTTAATATGTACTATTCTGCTATAGTTATAAGTTAAGTAATTTCCCGTTCTTCGCGTGTGGAGTACGGGGCAGTCACACTTTTGTGTCTGTTTAACTAATCGATTTCATTAACAAACAATTTGTTCATCTGATCTAACACCTTGCTCGACGGAAACTATTTATTATTATTACTCCGGGGTCGAACCCCGTATCTCTCGCACCATCTATGGAAGTTTGAATATCGTCACCAACATTAGTATTTACCTGTTGTTCTATCCAAGAATGTTTGCCGCTAATAGCTGCTAAGTACTGTAGAATTAATTTAGTAGATTCAGTCTTTCCAGCACCCGATTCACCACTAATGACAATACACTGGTCCTGCCCATAGCGCCGCATGTGCGCATACGCATTGTCACCGATTGCGAAGATGTGCGGCGGTAATTCACCGATCTTGCGTTCTTTGTATAATTTTATCTGGTCTGCCGTGTATATGGGTAGAATTTGATATGGATTCACTGCTACTAATATAGAGCCCGTATACGTCTGAAAATAAATGATTATTTGAATACCTTTATATTTTTAACATGTTACACGATAGCATAAACTGATTATGGTGTTTAAAGTTAGAGTTTTAGTCAAACTACTATCTGGCCTGGTAACGTTTTTTTTGCCATATGAACTACTTCGAAGAAATTTGATTCTCATAAAAATTTAAAAATCGAAAATAAATTGAAAAAATTTTTCGACTCGGGCAGGACTCGAAAAATTTTTTCAATTTATTTTCGATTTTTAAATTATATAGTGCCTTCATGTGCAATAACATGTGAAAAAATATTAATGTTTTCAAATCTCATAAAAATGTTTCTTGTGAGTTAGAAGATAGATACAGACTGTCGCGGAAATTTTTTAGATAATTTAAAGAAATATCGTTTATTTGGTTGCTTGAATCATATTCGCAGCGCACGCAACAGAAGTCTGTAAATTTGAATAACTTTTCCCGTCTTTTTCTCATTTTCCTCTATTTCTTCGCTCCTGTAAGTCGCACGATGTTTTATAGTCTAAAGCCTTCCTCGATAAATGCTCAAACCAAAACAAAAATATTTTAATTCAAACTAGTAGTTCCTGAGCTTAGCGCGTTCAAACAAATAAACATATAAGTTTTATCTATTAGTATAGATGAACGAAAAACGACTACACAAAATACTCACATAAATAAGATTATCGTTGTATCGTATGAGTAAGTTTCTAAGTATGCCGGCTTCATGCAGATCTCCTAAAGAGATCATGTCTTCCACGCCATGCACGGAGGTGGCGTGCATGGCTTTGATGCGCCTCTCGGGAGGTAGCCATTGTTCTTGGCCGTCGTCGTCTCGGACTCGTATTCGTCGGCCTTCAGCTGCAAGTACCCGAGCACCGATCGCGACATCGAACTCCCGACCCGACACTGGCTCGATCCATATGTAATCTCCCTGAAAATCATTGGAAAGACGTAAGTAAATATAACAACAAAAAATGAATTATTATAATACGACGTAGTAAATATATTTCTTACGACACTTATAAAGAACCTCAACCAACTTATTATTTAATTAAAAGAATAAATAACGATTATATCTTATTTGATTTATTAAAAACACTGTTTACGGTTAGAAACCCGACATATAATCATTTATTTATTTTTAATTATACCTCCGAAACGACGTTACGCATACTGTAGGTCAACTATTGTAATTACGGGAAAATAAATAATAAAATATTTGTTTTAGACATGTGTTAATTTACTATTCGCGGAATTGATATTATAGATAAATCAATAGATTATTTTTAATGCAATATTCCTTCCTTTTTAGCACTTAATTTTAATTATTTGCTATTATAAATTATCAACACGTAAGATGAAAATAAGCAGTGCTTATTATTATCTTTAATAAACGACCACGTATCGGCGGCCTTCATTCAAAAAATGTTGAACGCTTGACGACTACCGAATACCTCAAATTGAAAGTAGGTTTTTATTTAGGCAACCCTATCACGTTCATTTTGATTGTTATCTCTTCTATGAAAGTACACGCAGGTGCAATAAATCAATTTGTTTTAAATTAAAGAATTTTAAAGCACTTTAGTAATAGAAATACATATAATTCTCAATAACGACGAACGTACCTGAAATACAGTTTGACAGTCCATCATAAGCACATTTTACGATTCATTTGGACGGCATATTAAATATTATGAGTACGGTTTTGACGAGATAAGTTTATCATTTGACCACTCAACGCATGGGTCGATTATTAATTTATAGTCAGTAGATACACACACTACATATATATAAATCGTACTTTTAAAACATAAGAATACAGAGCACAGATAACACAAAATAAACACGTTTGCCTGATAACGCTGAAAAAATTCCACCATCAAATTAAAGAATATTCATACAAGCGGATGTTTAGGTGAAAATAAAAAAAACACTATTGAGAAAAAGTTGTTGATATGTAAAGTCTTAGAAATATCCACATTTCGTCAGCATCACGAACCACCATCCACAGATGAAAAAGGCGTGAATCTTAATCGTGTTTCGGTTTCAGTCTGTGGATTGTCGAAAATAAAACCAAAATAGGCCGACAGCGCATCTTGTGTGGATGTTATAAGGCTGGGATATATTCACCTTCCATCGAGTGAACCCATGCTTTTCTGTCCTCCTCCTTCATTAAAGAAAAGTAATGGCTTTGTTTTTCCCTACTCGAGAAAAGTAAGAAAAAAAATAAGTTCGATATCTTTCTCGAAACATTTTATTTAAAATTTTATTATAATTTAACCAGGAAAAATAATAATATCACAAACTCGTGCATGTGAAAGGTGAATGCCCTGGCAAGTGGTTTTTCTAGTGAGTCTAAGAAATTGTGGAATGTGTTGCCAAACGCATAGATCGGAACTCGCGCAATGTACCGCTGCGACTGTAATTCACCGGTGTGGCCACTAAATACGCTGGCAGTAAAAGAAGCTGAAGTAGACTAAGAACTACGTCACCAAGAAATAGTGAAGTTGGCTTGTTTTTTAAATTGTAATTATAGTTATTATCGGTAACATTTTTTTTTGCAAAAAAACTATTAACAATAAAATTTAGCTGGTACCCACGACGTCGTCCGCGTCGCGTTGGCCAAGTTAATCTTAAAGGATTTTTAATTTCAACTTAAGAAAAATAATTCTTTCATACATAGTTTTTGGATTTTTAACCGTTTTCACGGCGCACACAACAAAAGCAGACAAAGATAAATATCGCTTCGCTCCTATTGGTCGCAGCGTGATGTTATAAAAGCCTTCAGCCTTATCTTCTTTGAAAATTTGAAGTAGTAGTTAGCGCGTTTAAACTCTTCAACTTTGTAATATTAGTATAATGATTAAGTTATATTTATTTCCGAAGACAAGAAGGTCGCAAAGTGTATATTTTATAGGAAACGCTTGTTTAATGTCCCAGCCCTTTCGTGGTATCAGCTGACGGTGTTTATTTGGCAGACCTAATTTCAAAACTGGTACGTTTTCACCCGCTAACCAAATATGCTCGGCACTCATTATATCTAACTAGATAACAGGGCAAGAGCCATAACAAATAATTAACGTTAAAGAGAAAATTAATTATAAACCAAATTATTTAATTTACAATTAGTCATAGTTTACTTAGAATAAATTAAAAGTGCAACAAACTTAGAATATCTAGGCATTTCATAATTTCTTTAACGTCGTAAGTATTACTTCAAGGTAAGTCAGTTCCTTATACGCGACCTTGAACTTTGCTCTTGAAATAAGATCCTTGTAAAAGATTCCGTGCGCGTTTCGCGTGGGATAAGCTTTTCTGTGTTGCAGAAAAACATACTGTTATTGAAATGAAGCAACAGGGTAAAGTGTCATTTATAAAAAATAAATAGTATTGCAGGTGCTATAAATATGAAGATATTTGATGTTGTGTTCTATGACGCAATAATTAGTGTCTACTTTTCGTGTTGTCGAATTATTATTAGATACATTATACTATAATATATATAGTGCATGTTTCCTAACTTGGAAAAACATCACATCAAATATGGCCGATTACAAACCATAGAGAACTAGAACTTTGAAACAGTGAATTTGTTGCCACAGATGACACAGGGATCTAAATTTAGACCGAACTATCTTTTTTAAATTTTTTATATCATAATTATTTAACTACAATAAACGACGTTCGTTTGTCGTTGACTTTGCCTACATCCATTGATATGTAAATGATTTAAATCTGTCCTTTTATGTAAATTAATTTCTAGGTTTATTATCTTTTAAAATCATTTTATCATTTAAAACATTTTTTAATCGTTATTATTAAAGTTTTTAATCCATGTCGGTGCTTGCAGCACTTTCAAAATCTTTTCAAATAAGTTTAACATTTGTTATATTATATTTAAATGGTGAACAACTCGCGAAAACTATAGACAGTATTTAACTGTTATCATCATTTTTTAAAGTCGTTTTAAGTTAATCCAGTGTCTCAAGTGTGTTAGTATGTTGTAACCTTGTGAAAAATCACGATTTAACTTTTTTATTATTATAATTTCATGTAAATTTTGTGTTACAAACAATGCCAAGTTAGAAAAAACACACTATACTAGCCTTAATGTAAAGATGAAATTGAAGTATACAAAGTGGTTCAAAGTCTGAGCTACGGAGCAAAGCACGATCTATACAATTTATTTAGTCATTAATTAAATTATATAGGTTAATCTATTTAGACTTACTCTGGTCACGATCACCATGATGTCGCCGACATGTGGTCACCGCTGCGATCTGAAACAATAAATACATATTTTTATTACGCTGAATATCACATATGATAATATGGATGACGGCCTTGGTGGTGTGTGTAATATAAATAATGTTGCGGTGAGGTGGCACAAAGAAGGTAAATCTGTTTGTAAAAGAAATGTATGACATGGGACACGGAGCTACTCATGTCTGCCTCGTGACTAGTATGTAATGTAAACTATACCTAATTTTTTTTAGAACGTTCTGCTTTTTAAGATAGAGGAGGGCACACATACCTATAACATCAAACCAAGCACACAGACTGAAAGCGAAACGCGATTAAACTTAATGGCTTTTCAACTATGGACGGTGGTTCATCACCCGTACTTACCACCCTTAAATATACAGACTTTCAGAAAAATTATAAATTGATCGGAAACCGGTGGGGCATCGAACCCACGAGCCGATGGTTGTTAGCCATACATTGCCTCTATTACACCAACTAGCCCGTAAAAAGAATAAGTGCTTACAAGAAGAATTATTTGTTTTCTGTACGTATGTGTATTCAACAGCTATTGCGAAATATTTATTACGAATTATTATTTACATCATGCTTACGTCATCTGTTATTAACGACGGTTTTTCAATGACACTTAATTCTTATATTGTACACAGGCACAGTAATCTTTTACGATATAATGTGCGATTTGTTAATCTAGAAACATTGGGGTTTAGTAAACTTTAGAACATAAATAATTGTAAATATAATAATTATTGCAACTATTCGTAATTTCCAAATATGGGAGTTTTCTTAAACTCTGCATAAACTTTTGTCACAAAATACTGTTTAAACATAAGAGTGTTATTATTTTCAGAAATAAATATTATTTGTATTGGAGAATCACTATGCAACAAATAAACAATACTGTTTTACAAGAATATTGTATAACAATATCGTGACACACAGCTTTATTATTTCACGTCTTTAAATATATTTCAATATAAATAAATACATGCTTCATGGGTAAAAAATCATAATACATATATGTAGTACTAACCAAAAGGTGTTAAATGCGAAGCCTGCATTTTGTTTTGTAAACATTCTCCTTCTTGTTAACTGGATTACAACACAGGTGGTGACAGAACAATGAGAAAATGTACTTCGCCTAATTTTGTTATCAAAAACATTCGCAATAAATGACCTTGCATATTATTTTACATCCTTCTCAATATATTTATGTAATAAACAACCTTTTCTATTGTATTTTATGTAATAATGTGGACCAATGATAAAATAATCTTTCTGTGTCTAATCTACGAAATCACTGCCTTATACTGCAAAAATAATGAAAATCGATTTTCGAGTGCCGAATAATACCTACGATAAAAGGTTTTAAATAATTTCGGTTAAATATTGACATAATAAATATAAACATATACTTCTGTGAACTAGAATGCCGTCTGCGCTTACGCACGCTCGTTTGACAATAGCGTAACACGACATTCCAAAGAGCGGATCTAAACACCGGAAAGTCATTGAATGGGGGGCATTCATCTCGCGGGCGTTCACGTTTATTTGACCCTAGTAAAGTAATACGGCCACTAGCCGACACTAACCAGTAACCTCTATGGGAAAGAGGCCGATTTTGCTTTAGTTTTTTAAATTAATCTATTACACGGACATTTAAATATGTACGTATTGTCCGTATTCAATAATTAAGATGCATTCTTGTGTTTTATTCAGTTACGTAAGATTTGCTTGATTTCCACAGCTTTCCGAGCTGTTGCTCTAACCAATTGAGCTACCTTAAGTTTCAATCCAAATAGATAATTTATATAATTCCAACATGTGTAAAAATTGTCATCATTTGAAAACTTTAATATTTTTTACATTGCACGTGAAGGCAGTATATAATTTAAAAATTAAAAATATTTTCGACTCGGGCAGTATTGGAACCGGCATCGTCAGCGTTCCGTGCTGTTGTTTTCCAGTTGAGCTACCGAGTCAAGTCACTTCGATTTCGTATATCAGTAGTAAGTTTGCTCTGAATATATTGTCTCTTAAACTAACATATTATATTGCTTATCATATAAAGTAGGTGGGAATTACTACATATTTGTCAAATATTTTTGTCAGTGCTTAATGGACATATTCGAGTCCTTATACATTATTAAGCAGTCTTAAAGCCATTTGATTATATCTAGTTATATTTACAGTTGACTTAAGCAGGTCCTCGGTTCGAATTCCAGGAAAATATAATAGTTTCAATAGGTCACAGAAGTCTGATCTATTTAAATAAAAGTTAAAGCGCAACTCTAAATAAAACAGACACATTAATGTGTGGGTGTAGTGTAATTCTAGTGGATTCTAGTGTAATCTTAGCAGGTTTTTTAATCGCCTTTTAATTTTCTCTAATAATAAACTTTGTTTAACAAAAAAATGGTACAATTACTAAAATTAACAAGATGTTAACAGAACTGGAACAATATTTAGCACTAACTAGATAACGGTAAAGTAAAAAAGTGAGTTATTAGTAGAGAAGGAATTGTAATTGCACGCTTTACCGATAAAAGCAATGTTTTCTTGTGAACCAAAATTATAGAATTTCATTTCATCGAATGCACTATTCATTCATTGCTTTATTACTTGACTTTTTATAATTTCAACAATAAATCTTTTAAAAACTTTAATATTTTTCACATAAAAGACACCATTAAAAATAACACTATCTCTGGTCTCGGTAGCTCAATTGGTAGAGCAACAGCACGGAACGCTGACGATGCCGGTTCAAGTCCTGTCCGAGTCGAAATTTTTTTCGATTTTTAAATTAATCTTTTATTTCATAAAACAACTATTTTATGAAGACTTGGGTCTTTACGACTGACTCATTCGCTTTGACCTAATGGTAGCAAGGTATGGCTTCTTATTCACCGGCCTTGGGTTCGATCACCACCGGGTCCACTTTTTAATCAATATATATTTTGTCTGATACATGTTAGACCTCGTCTGGAAATGAGATATTATTGAGGTGTTAGGAATATCCAGATTCTCGGGTCACGCAGCACAGATAAAAATATCCAAAGCCGAAATAGTTCGACAGCTCATCTAGTCGAGATATTATATGGTTCGGGTATTTCAGTTTTCTTTACGTGAACACAATGATTGTCTGTCATCTTCTATCATAAAACATAGGCAAACGTGTAGTTGTTATAACTTAGGGATCGTTCAAGTATTACGTAAGCACTATAGGGGGGGTGGGGGGGTCTGTGTTTTGCTTATTTTTGATGACGGGGTCCAGATGATGATTACGCCATCGATATTTATTTACTTTTTTACACGAATGGCAACCAGCACATTTTTTATTGAAAAATGTTTACGTAAGCACGGGGGGAAGGGGTAAAAACTTTGCTTACTTTTGCTGACAAGGGGGATGGGGGGGGTAAATAATTGTAATAAATCTGCTTACGTAATACTTGAACGGCCCCTTAACACATTTATGGACACATTTAATATTAAACGCACAATTCTGACGTGTCTCTGAACACCCCGCTGTGCATTAATTTATCTTTAAGTCAATCGATTTACATCAGAATTCAAGAACCCATATAAGTGTGAACGAGTTCGCTACCAGTGTCGCTGAACAGTCGATAGAAACCATACTAGTACATCTAGCACACCCTTTTTGTAGGAAACAGAAATCGAAATAATACATTCCGTTGTTAAGGTTGTAACTAGTGCTTATGCGTCATATTAACATGTACAAAATAATCTATATCATCTCAAATACAAAAACGGGAGACGGTCTCCCCGTGACCACGGCTGATGCAAAGCATCCGAAACTTTGGGCCGAAGATATAAATAATTTTTAAACAAGTTTAACTGATATATATCGCGTTTTAAACCGTTAAAGTGTTTCATTTAAATGTGTACTACTCGCGTAAACTACAGACAGTATTTATGTAATACAGGCAGGATTCAAAGTCAAACCCATGACGAATAATATCGTTGCTCTACCAACTAAGATTCCGCGTCACATTGGTTTTAATCAAAATTCTTTTATTTAAAATATCCCTGGCACTGTAACGCTATGGATATTTTAAATAGCTTTACAGTTTAACAACGTGTGTGTTTTGTGTGAAAACAAAATATAATATAAAACTTAGAAAGATAATTTTCGTACCTATATGTATTTCAATATAAGTACCTAAGTACATACATAAGTTACGTAACGTCATAAGGTTGTCAGATAAGAAATCAGTCCAAATAGAGCCTTCGTTGTTAACTCAAATTTCCCAGCTCGTCATCTTTGTTTTAGTGATAAGTGCAGACTAGCACCATAGCGAGAAATGTGATCTAGCGTTTTACACTCTTATCATAAATACCTCAAACGAAATTGTCACCTATAGCAATAGACATAAGGGGATTACTTCTGTAAACATTTATGTTTCATGAACTGCCCGGGTGGCTGGTCTTGTTGACACGTCAAATTTTTGAATGTAGCGTTTACTAGCGAGGTATAAATCACACTTAAATGATGGTGTGTCGTGTAAGAAACGTCTATTTTGTGAAGACTTTATATATTAATATGTAATTTCGTGAATGACTTTACTTAATTGATAACTAATTTATAACTAACGCTAGTTAGTAAATTTATATTATAATACTAATCACATTTGAAATAGTCTATGCAATAAATAAATGGCTTCATTTTTATTAAAAGATTAGTGTCTGTTAAGTGTTGATTTTATTTACAAGAAAGTACCTAGTTGATTAGACACTAGTACCTTGTGTACACAATATAAAATAAAATACATGTATTTTTATGAAAAAAATATTGTCAAACACGCTCTGTAATATTTATAGTTCCTATTGTTTTCACGATGTGTGCTGCCAAGTTATTGTTATGTAACGATGTCTATTCTATTGTAAAAGGCCAAATAGGCTACTTACGTTTCGGAAATGAAATTACTAGCATTTCAGACTTAAATATAATACTACGAGGTATCTGTG